CACATGTTTTATGATATTGTGAACAATTATTTATCCATGTCATAGAACCATGAGTCATATCAAGCAGAAAATATTCAATAGTAAATTTTAGGTTGTTAATTTTGCTGAAAAAATGAGATGTATGACGATGAGAACATAGTATGTAATCACAATGAATTTCAAAACGTTTAATTGGATTTTGAATATGATTGAAAATCTTACATAAACGATGAAAGTCAATCTCATTGTTATAATAAAGAGAAAGACATATTAAATTAGGAAAACATGTTTGAAATTCATTGATTTGATTTACATGTTGAAGATTGATAAGAGTAACAGATATTATATTAGTAAAAATAGATGCAGAAGCTAATTCTATTGTTGATCTAAGTTGATTTTCTTTGAGATGTAAAGAAACAATTTGTTCATTATCAATGTTTTTAATCATTGTCTTCATAAATCTGTCAGAAGGTTCAACAATAGGTAATCTTACTTTATATTTTCGTAATAAATGAAGAATATCAATAGAAAATATAGTAACAGCATCATTTAATGATAAATATTTAGTTATTTCAAGAATGATATCCCAACAAAGACTAGTCTTTTTAATGAAATTAAATGACTAAAACAAAAATAATAATACACGAATATGAAGTAAGTAAATACAAAATACTTACGAGATATTGTTCATTCTCATCAAATTCTTCTTTAAATGTAAACAATATATCTGATAGTGTTTCAAGATTTAATTTTCGATGAGTTTGCATCAAAATATCACCTTTGAGTAATATTTTAAATTCATATGAAGATGCTAAACATGAATCTTTTTCTTCTGAAGATCTTCTCATAACACCAATAAGCATAGGACATTCTTTCATCGTTAAATCAACAGGAAAACGATTGGAAAACATTTCTTTCCAGATTTCGATCAACCTATATAAAAGATATTAACAAATTTAACAAACAAAGTATATCAACATATCATGCATGAATCAGTTACATACATATGTTTATTGGATTCATCTGTAATATCCCATGGCCATATAATATAATTTTCAGGTAAATATTCGATCATTATCCTTGAACATAACATGTTCAAACAAAACATGTCTGTCTGTGTGTTCTTACCATGATGTATATAGAAAGTAATGGACGGCGCTAAAATATGTCAGAACTATACATTTCGTACAATTATGTAAATAGATATCAACCAACTTCCTTAACCATTTTCGTATTGAATGCTAATATAAATGCTTCTTGTAAAGAACCAATGAAAAAAACAGGACATGTACCATAATGATCCATGAACCATTTGCATAAAGATTCAATGATATTAACTTCATTTCTACATTCAGTTATCACTTTGAATAATGGAATAACAAGGAGTTTTATTATTTCTTTGATTATAAGTAAAACAGAACTTACAAGAACTATGATCAACGAAATTAACGTCAGTATGAAAAGCATCATTGTTGGTCATATCTGTCTTACTATTATCTCTAGATATATACGTAAACATCTCTTTCATTTTTTATTAAAAAATAATATCAACATAGGAAATATTTCCGTTTGCATATAAGAGAAGATACTTACCACTGTGATTGTTTATTCGATGATCATAAAAAGAAAAATTATTTAAAAATAAAGAACTATATTTCTACAGTTATTGGCAAAAAAAAGTGACACTGTAAGTTGGATTCTTCTAATTATTTTATATACAAGCTTCACGGTAAATACCTGTTTCATTCTTCTGACATCAGTACATGACACGATAATTTTATAGTAGGCTGCTCATGACTAATAAAACAGAACGAAAAAAAAACCAAGTGTTTTTTTTCCTTTTCCAACTGAAACTCATGAAAAATGGAATATAAAAAAAAGATAAACATAAACGAAAACCATATAAAATATGTAGAATTAAAATTAAAACAAGATAAATTGATATTTGATCATTTCTCACACTTTATATGATGTAAAACAAAGCATTTATGAGCAGCAATAGCGACTGAAATTCTTAGCAACTATGTTCGACAACGTCGGGTGTCAAAAATAGGAATAAAATGCATTCAGTCACATTTCAACTAATGGTCACGTTCAGATGCATCTCAAATACACAAGTGTAGCTTGTTCAAAATTCTTTCTAACAGATCATAATCATTTTCATATAAACGTAAACATGTTAAATGAATTCATGCATATTCTTCAATCTAACAAACAGGTACTTCTTGTGTAGAATATAATAAAGATTTGGAAAAAATCTGTATTCATACATCATCTGCCGAAATACTCGAAATATATGAAATATATTTCAGAAAAATTTGAAATAATATAAAAGTCAATTATAACGAACATAAAAATATAACATCAACATAATTGTTATAAAAAGTTGTGACAGATAAATATTTCCTCGTAGAAAAATTCTTTTGTGTGTCTCTTTTACCTTGTATGACACGGTATATTGATATTCGTCTTCTACCAGTGAATATTTGATGATATTATGTATTTTATTAGACATATCAACTATGTACATAACATTCATGAGGATTCTCAATCGTTAAGTATATGATAAAATAAAATATATAACATTTCTTCTGTAGCATATACAATCTTTTTGACGATACCTTCAAGCTTAATGAAGATGTTGTTATTGTCAATAACAATATCTTCATAAAAGATATTTGAACATGATAACGTTTTATTGTCAAAAGTAAGACACTGTTGATCTTTAATATTCATTTTGAAAATACGTAAAAAATGATTCACTATGACGAACTTAAATGATATTCTGTATAAATTCAATACAAGGTTTACCAACAAGTAAGAACAATAAATAAGTGTCATTCTTTTGACCTGAAAAATCATATCTTATGAAAGTAAAACAATTTCTGAAAACACAACATGTTTTAAATAGTTGTATATTCTGTTGATGAAAAAGATATAGAAATTCGATGAGTCTACTTTTGTTTAAGTCCTCTAGTCAAAAATGAACTATTTCATTTTCATTGATCGACATTGAAAAAAATTGTAGACAAAGATTGAATGATAGATAAATATCTTCTACTTTTGTACGACGAATATGACGAGATTCATCAATATGTCCTTTCACAAAAAGTAGAACCAAATGCTTCGCATATCTAATCGATAAAACAGTATAAAAAACAGAACAGCCAAATACTAGAATATTTCAAATTTCGTTGACTTTAGATTGTTGATATTTTTATAGAAAAAGAGGTATGTGAATTGTTGTTGTTGATGATGAATACTGTTTATTGAAGAAAGATAGCGATCAACAACACTTAACTTGGAATGAATACGTCATGATTGTTTTCTATACTTTTATCACACGAAACTATTTTCTTCTATTTTATCAGGTGATATAAAATAAAATAATTAAATTTTGTGAAATATTTTCTATTATTTTCTTTTGTACTTTACGATATAATATTCAAGATATTGAACCAAAAAAAATGAAAGATATATGTTAAACAAACATTACTTTCATTCATATATTTTATTAAACATGTTGAATGCATAAGAGAAAAGTTACATGAATATATTCATTATTGAAAAGCTTATAGTTGCTCAATAGAGAAACCATCATATCAAATGTAATCTTCTGATTTGCATGGAAATTTCATATAAGTATTCAACAAAACTATTTTTATATTGAATGGCATGATTCATTAATTTTAATCTTGATTGATATCGACACTTAAAAGATGCATAAAGAAAAATCCTATATGGAACTAACTTAGCCACACAATAACCAGATAACTTCGATGATTTTTTTTTGGGGCATATAAGCATTTGTTCCTATCAATTAAGTTCTCTAGAACATTTACATTTTCTGTATCTCATAATTTTTTTATGAATAATATAATGTTCAAATAAGTTTGTCTTGAGACTTTTACATTTCAAGTGAAAGTTGAAGACCATTTCAATTGAAGAGATTTTATCTTTCTAAATAATTTATATCCACTATTTAACTTTAATATTAGTGGACTCATTCTAGCAGTACATCTAATATTAAAAAGTAAGCTTTTTAGACTGTGTAGATCTGTAGTATGACCAAGTGAAAAGAAAAAAAAACTTAACCCTTTCGTTCAGCTCATGAAAAATTGATATAGAGATTTCTTACCATTACATCATGATAAATGTCGTGCAACAAATCTGATAAAGAACTAGTCTCAACATCGAAGTGAATGAGATCCTGAAGCACACATAGACTTATGTGACCTCACAATCGATCATGGAATTCCATATTATTCACCAAACGTTCCTTCTCATAAATATTCATAAACATGTCATACGTTTTATATGTACATAAACGAGGCTGTTGCTGATAATCAGAAACACAACAGATATTATGATATTTTTTTAAATTAAAACATTTGTTTCGTTTGATTTAATTAATAACAAAAGTAAAAATCGCAAGAGATGAGCTACAAATTTTTGCTACTTTAATGTCATCTACATTCATTATGAGAGTTATAAACTTTCTTTCTTTCTCTTTTTAAAGGAAGCCCCTCAGAAACGATTTTCCACTTGGGATAGTACATTGGAGCTGGAATTTTTAGAGATGACTTATCCTGGAGAGATGCGCTTCTTGTAAAAATTCCAACTCGATTGATCGTACTAGACCAAATTTCCAGCTGATTCATAGGTCATTTTTGGCCTTCAGGAGAATTGATATAACTTCCTTGTAAGATGAGATAGAGGGCTCGAGGTAGTTTCAAACTAAAGCCAATGTCAGCGCGCAACTTTTGTCCGAACAGAATTTTCAAATTCAATTTCATTCATTTTTTATGATCATTTGTGGTGACATCGTCTAAAAATCAACATAAAAAATGGTAGTGCAACGAAAGAAAATTACACTTTTCTCAGCCCTGAAATCAAATATCAAAAATCCGTTCGGACAAGGGTTTACTCTTGTTCAGACCTTTAAAACCAAAAAAAAATATTAGAGTATAACCTGAGTCTGGAAGGAGAAGTTCCAATTTTTCTGATTGGGAAGCGTGTTCTAAGAAAAACGATAAGCAAATTTAGAAATCGATTTTTTTTATTCAAATCCAGAGAAAATCACAGTGTCATTGAATATTACTAATTCGTTCCAGTGGACCGTTTTAAAGCACGTGAGAGATGAAGGTAGCTAATGCTATCCGACATGCTTGTTCATATAAAAATGTTCTTCTCAATGCTAATGCAAGTGGTTACGCAGTTTTTCCAAAATTGAAAACCACAAAAATTTCTCGAATAATATGATAGTAGAATCAAAGTTTCATGTGATAAGTCTTTGAAAATCTGATCATTTTCAAAAGGCTATAGATATTGTGAAAGAGAAATCTTCGCTGCATCTTCCTATGATAAAAACTCAACTTCGATATTTCTTTGAAAAATTGGATTTTCTAAGCGGAGGAGGGAGGAGGAAGGCTTAATTATATTTGGATATTTTTCTTTATCGCGTAGAGTATGGATGTGGATGGGTGTGAGTGTAGATTTGGGCTGGGAGTGAAGAGAAGTTGTACAGCCACACCCAATGTCTACACCCATACTCACACGCCACATTTCTATCTATATCCACATCCAGACCCACAACCCACACCCAGTTTAAAATCAAAACTCAGCTAGCCAAGCTTCTCCTGAATACGGATTTTAATAGAGGCGTAACTTGTAATCATGTGTGTTGCATCCTTAAAAAAGCAAATCTATGACAATAATAAGCTTCTTTATGCCCTGATTCCAACTAATGACCTTCATATTTACACAAGTGATGAGGTAAATATTGTTGCAACACAAACTAAGGTGAAGACTTGTGATTATGTCTCAAATAGAGTCGATCATCGACGAAAAAAACTCAAATTATAAGTATCGTGAGGTAATCAATATTATGGGTCAAAAATAAAAGAGAAAAAAAAACGACAACTTTCATTGCAGCACTGAATGACGAAGCAAGCGTACATTTTTGCTATAAATCAAATTATTTTTAATTACGACACTGTCGAACGAACGAAAGAAAATTTATATTATAATCGTCATCGTTCTATTAGCTCTCTTACTAAACATTGCAAGGAAGCC